CAAGGATATATCTATACAGATGCATATGCCCTGGTGGCATAGTGGTTACATGTTGGGGTGCTCTCACCACAAGATCAGCAGTTTGAAACCACCAGCTGCTCCACTGAAGAATGAGGAGGCTTTTTGCTCAAAGAGTTTCAGTTTCAGAAACCCATCATAACAGTTCTCCTTGACTCATGGGGTTCATATGAGTCCGAATCCACTCGAAGGTAGTGAATGTGCTTTTATAATAATATAAAGTATAGGTAGGGGTTGGAAATGTAATATTAAAGAAATCAAAATCACATTTAAGGTTTGCCCTTAAAAGTGCGATTGTCTACTTTCCAAGGGGTACTATGTTAATCCAGGTAAAAGTCCGTACATCTTCTATTTGCAGGAGATAGCATGGAAAACCAAACTTGGTACCACTGAGCAGTTGCTACTTCGAGTGATCATATGTATGAGTGAGCATCAGAAAGTTTGTGGAAAATGAAATGAAAAGATAATGAGATTTTTCCATGAACTTTTTGAAATCTCCCTCAGAAACTTGGAAAAATATTATACTTGGGATTTTGTATACCTGAAAACAATGAGCTATATAGTTAGAAAATAAAAAGAATTTAAATTTATTTTCATATAATTAGTATCTACCTATGTATATGAAATATGAAAAGCATATGTCATTTTGTAAGAAAATTGGAAGCCATTTCAATTTTCAATAACTTCTATGAAATCCTTAACAGGTTTCTATGGAACCTTATCAGAAAGATTGAAAATAATTACAAAATACTTATCAAAAATATTGAAAAGAATTATCCTCAAATGTTCCTATTGTACTAGTTACCTATAGGAAGAAAATTATTTTTCAGACGTGGAATTATTATGATTGAAGGCAAGCTACAATCTTATCTGCCAAATTGAATGTAACTGAGTGGATGAAAATCTTTTTCTTAATTACCTGAAAGGATTTAATGGCACAATTTCCTAAGGACTTTCACTTAGATTATCCTTTAAAAGAAATGTGTGGATTTCCCCAAATGGAATCAGCCTATCTACCCAAGGTGTCGCATGCCTCCAGTGCCAGCCCCTCCGAAATAAAACAGACACAAACTACCAATTGCTTCCAGGGAAAGTCTCACTCCCTTCTGTCTTTGGGAACCCGTTGAACATCTCTGAGGAGCGGAGGGGGCACTGGAGTTCTCATTCGTGGAAGGACGGGAAGAGGTTCTTGGTAGACTTACTCAGGGTTGTTGCAGAGCCTCTCAGCGCTCTGGGCCCCAGCCCCACAGGTCCTGGAGCAGTGAGACCAGGGTGACCATCGGCCCCAGCCTCCCGGAATGCTCTCCGGCTTCTTCCCCACTGTAATGCACTTGCCAGCCATACACCACTGGAAAGGGAAGATGCATGTGTAAGGATGCTCCTATAACAAATAAAGCCAAGAACTCTACTAGCCTAGTCTCCATTGTCCCTGAGCAAGCAGGCTTCCTTTGCACATCAGACATAGAACAAAGAAGTACTCTTTAAATGAGTTCCTCCTGAGAGTATTGAATTTTCTACAGGAACATTTCAGGACAACAAGAGAATTTTATGAGGCCAGTGGGACAATTCTGCTCTGTCCACGGAGTTGTTAAATGACTCCATGACAAGTCACAGTTTCTATGGGACTGCTACTCAAAGTGTAGTCAATGCACCACAAGTGGATCAATGCACCACTCCTTTCCTCAACAAAGTCCTGCTATGGGAAATACGTCAGATTAGTATGTAGAGCAGCAGAGTTGTTTAGAATCAACTAGATGCAAGCTACCGATCTTGTTGCAGACCACCACAACAATTAGTTGACAGACTGATAGTGTGAGTAGCACTGCTTTTTAGGTCTTCCATGGTAAGGAGCCCTTGTGGCATAGTGGTTAAGCATTGACTGTTAACTAGTTCAGCAGTTGCAAACCACCGGCTACTCCTTGGGAGAAAAATGTGGGTTTTGACTCCAAAAAAGAGTCAGAGTCTCAGAAACTCACAAAGGCAGTTCTACCCTGTCCTATAAGGTTGTTATGAGTCATTATCAACTCAATGGCAGCTGAGTTTGGTTTTGAGTTGTTATAGGTAATGTCTGCAACAAAGAACCCCTGCTACTCTAATACAGTCTACTTCAGCGAGGGAACACTATGAGTAGTTAGGGAGTTCTTTCTTATATTAAGAAAAAACAAATCTGTTATCTGTAACTCTGATCATTGTTCCTAGCTCTCACCTTTTAAGTGACTCAGAATCCACACACGTACATATGTCCTCACTCCTTCTTTAAGGCAATCTTTTAACAACTATGAGTTTAGGAAAACGAATCCACAAAGTGGAAAATAAAAGGAAAAGCAATGTGATTGGTAGAAATAGTCACATTTCTTGGAGAATCTTGGTAATCTGCTGACCCCCTTCCCCCCATTATTTATGCTCACTGGTTCTATAGTCCCCATCATGGGCTATGTCATATCCGAGCTTCATAAAGATAGTCACTAAGCACTAAGCCCTAGTCCAACAGCAAGCCCAGTAGGTTTAGTTGAGCCTCACTCTGACATATAACGGAGTTCTCATGCAGTTCCGATGATAAAGAATGAGTCTGTATTTGTGAGTGTCGGGTTTTGCTGCTTAACAAAGTAGGCAGACCTTTAAGAATTTCATCCTGGTCAGATGGTGAGAGAGAAGGAATGGCAGAGCAAAATCAGGCAGTACGATCTTCAACACAGGGGGGAAGAAGGTGAAATGAACATTTCAGGTAATAATAATGAACATTTATAATTATGAACATTTCAGATAAAAACCAACAAAGGTTTACCTATAAATCTCACAGAACTTCCAGAAAGAAAGGAAGGGTAGATATTTTGCAAGTAAAGTATGCGATGGAGGCTCAGCTCTCTCTACTTAACAACTTCTTGCCAGGAAGTCTCAAAAGGAATCGTACAAATGACGTTCTGGACTCTGGCGAGTCTGACAGTATGCTCTCTATTCACTGCTCCTTACTCAGACAGAGCCATGCTGGGGGATTTTTTACCTCTCTCTGGCTACCATCTCCACCTGTCTTTCACAGCCTGATACCGTACCTTCTTTTCACCACATCTTGTTCCATCGGCAGCAGCATCCAGTTTAGATCGGCAAAAGCCTCTCACTGAGCACCATAGTGTCTGGCAGACATTCTGAAAGACGAATATGATATTTCACTTTCTTGAGTTTGTAAGGCTCTATAAGCCATTTATACAGTTATGGTAAATACTCATCCATACAGCAACCCAACATGCCATCATTGCTAGTGAATGAGAATGATGGAAACCATTGCTAGGCAACTCAGTTGAAATTCATTTTGTACTTCATCATCACTCATCAACAGTGGTGTGTAGAGCAGAGTAGGCAATTGGAAGGTGAGTGATAAAATCCCTCTCCTAAGAGTTGCAGCCGTATTGGATGATTGTATGACGCGAGGCACAGGATTCCTTGGCATTGAATGGGTAGATGTTGACAATAGCCACCAAAAGCAAATGCAAACTGTGGATGGATGACAATCTGACTACAAATAGTTGGGATAGTATGCTGGTTAGATTTTATGCCAACTTGATGGTACCTGTGTGAGGATAGGGGTGGATGGAATCAAACAGATTATTGGCTAATCATGCCTCCTTGGGGATGTGACCTTTGTAAATAAGAGAGACATTAAGAACATCTTGCTCTCTTGGACCTCTTTGCCTTCCTGCCTGCTTGGATTCTACCTTTTGCTCTTGGGTTGCCAGCCCACGCAGTTTGCATATCCTGGGAGCTTTGGGGTCTGCCATGCTCCTGCCAACCTTCTATTTGTGTGACTCTGAACCCCCTGGCATACAATCTCCCCGTCTCATGCTTTGGCTTCCATCCACTGGCAGCTGTGTGAGTCTGAAGAGGGCGCAGCTTGGGCCACTTTTTTTATATAAAGCTATTTCTTTATACAAAGTTATTTTTAGACATGTATGAGCGCCCCTAGTTTTGTTTCTCTAGCAAACTCAGTCTAACACTGATGGCTTCCCCTGCAGGAAATGGAAATGATTCCTCCCAAAAGCTTGTTTCTTTGCTTGCTACTCAAAGTAGTCAACTTATTTGATTGCCAGTTAAGGATTCACATATTCCGTCTAGTTTTTCCCAGTCAGAGCAGGGGAGGATTCATATGTGTAATCTAAAAGAGCTCAATGGCTTCTATCCGCCTATTGGCTTTTCTTCGGTCCTTTATCCTTCTACCCACTTATGATGCCTTGTGTTCAATGAGTTTTCTCATCGTAAGATTTCATATCAACTAACAATTTTGAAAAAAAAATCCATAGCTTAAATCCTTTTAGATTAGAATAGATTCCACCATCTTTCTCTCTGGAAATGTATCTACTTAGGATTTCTGAGCCTGTAAATCTTCCCTGGACTCACGGGCTGTATCTTTCTCCACTAGGGTGGCTCGTGGGTTTTAACTGCTAACTTTGAGGCTAGCAGCTCCCCAGCTCTCCCACAGCACCACCAGGGCTCTTTAAATTAGATTACCTTATTCTCTCTTCCTGGAACTCATAATTGATATGAGCAAACCTTCCTATCCTGTCCTTAATTTCACTTGCATGTTTTCTGATTCTCAATTTTCTCAGACATGAAGTTAAGGGACAGCAGAGCTCTGTGAGCAGGAGCCTCAGGTTTAATGGCTTGTCTGTTCAAAGTGAAGGTGGCATCCCCTCTCCCCGTTGGGATGTGAGAGCTCAAGCCCTTTGCTTATCTTCAGGGCAGCTTCCAGCAGAGGCCAAAACTATGGGGAGCAGGACTAGTGCAAAGGTAGTGGACAACATGGCACTTGCTAGGAATGGATAAACACAGAAGGCAAACAAGAAATTGATCGGTAATCATCAGAACAGTCTGTTTTTAGTAAACAACAGAATAGACAGCCTGAAAATCCTTTCACCCTAAGAACATCTAAATTGGTGAATAAAATATTTTAAATGTTTTAAATGCATTCCAGAACTGACAAGAAATGAAGACAAGTTTTTAGAGGCCAAAAATGTAACTGGAGATGTAAACCTGGTAACCAAGATCAGAATAGTCATGGCCACTTGGGTACTGGGAACAAATCCTAGGGCTTATTTGGAATGAGGAGTTGGATGGAAAGCCCCCATCTAAAGGCATTCTTCCAAATAACTGAATGAAAGGATGGGACACAGCCAGAACGCATGCCTGTTTTGACATTAACTCTACAAGAATTGGTAAGCTATTATCTCTGAGAGTTTATATTCTCAGAGGACCCCACACCACTTGTGTATTCCTCAAAATACCAAACCAATAGCCTACTTTAAAAATGACCCCAGAATGATGGAGAAAATGCTCTCTTAAAAAGAGTTACCCATCTAATCCTCAAGGAATAACCCAATAATCACGGGGAGGCGATGAGCCCATTAGGGTGTAGTATAGCAATGATGAAACATACAACTTTCCTCTAGTTCTTAAATGCTGCCTCCTCCCCCACTGTCATGATCCTAATTCCACCTTACAAAT